AGGCAAGCACTCTACCACTGTGCCACCTTCCCAGCCGAGCAGGGAGATTCTTGCAGTTGTCCGCAGGCTTTCCTGACCCAGCAATCTGCTGGCCGCCTGCAGCCCGAGGCGCCTGGCTTCTCGGAGCTTTTTTTTTTTTTTGCCAGTCCTAGGGCTTGAACTCAGGGCCTGGGCGCTGTCCCTGAGCTGCCTCTGCTCAAGGTGAGCACTCTACCCCTTGAGCCACAGCACCACTTCTGGCTCTTTCGGTGTATGTGGTACTGACGAATCGGGCCCAGGGCTTCACACATGCTAGGTAAGAACTCTACCACGAAGCCATCTTCCCAGCTCTCCAAAACTCTTTTAAAAGCCAGAAGTGAGGCTGTAGCTCAAGAAGTAGAGGGCTAACCTCGAGTAAAGGAAGTTCATGGATAGTGCCCAGGCCCTGAGTGCTAGCCCCAAGACTAGCATGTACACACACACACACACACACACACACACACACACACACACACACACTTCTCCTGCTTCAGCCTCCTAAGAACTGGGATTATAGGTGTGCACTACCATGCCCAGGCACCAAGGCTGACCGGCTGGCACTTTGGGCTGGATTCAAGGGCCTGGGGACTCCCCTCCCTCAGCCCCCACACCCACCCCTGACACTTTCCTTGAGGCTGGTGGGAGCTGCGCAGGCAGGGGCAGCTTCCCTGACCCTGGGCCCCATACCTAGGTTGTTGTCTGTCAGCACCTCCTTGACCCTCTTGGTGATGGAGTATGTGTCCAGCTCGGGGGACATGGCCACAATTTCCTGGATGCCCCCTACGGCCTGGCCGGAGTATGTTTTCCCGGTGGGTGTGGTGCCCGGGCGCGCCTCAGGCTGCTGGTTTTCCTTGCTGCTCTCCAGAGAGAGGCTCAGGGGCTCCGGGGAGCTCTTCTCCGGCCCCGTGGGGCTTGGGGGTGGTGATGGTGAAGACCTTAGCTCCAGGGGACTGGCTGTGGGCCACAGAGACAGAGGGTGGTCACCCCCAGCAAGGAAGGGACCCACCCTGGGGACGCTTCCAGGTGCCCTGCATCTCCCTGGGGAGACTGGGCATCTGTCACTCACGGTGGCGATCCCTTAACCAAGAGACCAGAATTACTATCACTAAGCCTGGCACCACCACCGGTGGCTCACACCTGTAATCCCAGCTCCTTAAGAGGCTGAGATCTGAGGATCACAGTTCAAAGCCAGCCTGGGCAGGAAAGCCTATGAGACACTTATCTCCATTCAACCACCAAGAAAGCCAGAAGTGGCCCTGTGCCCGCCTTGAGCGGGAAAGGCTGAGTGAGAGACTGCGCAGACTGGGTAGCCTGTGCGCTGGGGGCCCCGCCAGGGCCCCGGCAGAGCAGCAGGAAGCCAGGGTACCTGAGCTCCAGGGCACTCTCTGGGGCGGTTTCCTCACCCTACAAAGCTCAGCCCGCCCACCCCGCCTGAGGAATGGGTGTGGGGTGGGGAGCAGGGGGGAGGGCGGGGCGCTCTGTGCTGCATGCTGAACCTGTGCAGCTGAGACCAACCAGACCCTGTGTGTGGCAGGGCCCCTCATTCACTGGTGGGCAAAGCTGGGGCACGGGGTGTCTTCTGCTGGCCGCTGTCCTTTGAGGAGGGATGAGCGCAGGGAGGTGGTGGGGGCCGGGTCCCCAGGGCGGCAGCCGCGGGGGAGGGGACCCTGCGGGACTGCGGGCCCCAGGGGTGCGCTCACCCTGGGCGGCGCTGGGCGGCTGAGCCCCGGCCTGGCCCAGCTGGTCTGACAGCCACAGCTGCATGCGGATGAACGGCTCCCGGCCCTTCTGCGTCAGCTTGCTCCAAGGCTTTGGCCGGGACAGCATGTCGCTCACGCTGCCCTGCGACAGGCCCAGCACCTGGGGGGGACAGGAGAGTAGACAGGTAAAGGGAGAGAGAGAGGACAGGTGAGGGGGCAGGTGAGGGGAGAAGGGGGGACAGGTGAAGGGACAGGTGGACAGGTAAGGGGACAGGAGAGCAGTCAGGTCAAGGGGGCAGGTGGGTGGAGCTCAGGGCTTGGTGGTGGGTAGGCTGGGGTGCGCCGCCTCCCGCGCCGCCACCTTCTCCCCGAAGACCCGCTGGCAGATGCCGTTCTTGGCCAGCTTCTCCTTGACCCTGCGCGTGAGGCCGGGCGTGTCCACCTCGCGGTACATGTACAGCTCGTACTGCTCGGGCGTCAGCGGCGGCACCGTGGGGCGCAGCGCGCGCGGCGCGAAGGGCGGGA